CGCCACGCCGCAGAAAATGTCAGAAGCAGCTGGAGAGGTGGAGAGGTTTATAGGTAATATAGCAGCCAACAGGAAGGAGCGCAAACCTGTCAGACCAACCGTTGTGGAGGTGAGACGCCACACTTTTCTTTTTAGAAGTCACAACTTTTCACAATCAGTTAAGCTTTGATTTGTTTGTTTTTCCTCTCATAGAGAGCACTAGATCCTCAAGCTGGATCATCTGCGAGTCGGAAACTTATCTCAGTGAGTGTGCTTACAGCAACATTACAGCAACATTCAGGTTTGATTGATCCGTAGCGTTCTCACCGATCTCCCTCTTCATCCTGCCAGGAGCCTCATTTTAAACCCTGTCAGATGAAGACGTATTTCCAGCTTCCGTTTAATGTGAACTTTGTCAGCGAGTGTGTGCGGGCCGTCCCGTTCACACATGCCGATTACGCCAGGTACAACAAACACACTCTTTAACAAACATTAAATTATGATATCATGATTATGATACAGTCCTTTGCTTATTCACAATCTGTCATGTGTTGTTCTCTCTCAGTCTGTGTATTTTAGCAAGGATGATGACTGCCAAGTTCCTGCATGGAGAGATCAGAGAAAAGGGTGGGGCTTATGGAGGCGGAGCTAGAATGGGAGGAGGTGGCCTGTTCTCATTTTATTCCTATAGGTACATATTACACATTTCATTGGATCTGATACAATGTATCCATTAGTGTATTTCCTTCATATATAATGATGTTTAAGTTCCAAGTTGATCATGTTTTATTATCTGATTTATCATGGCAATCTCTCAGAGATCCGAACTCCACCCAGACGTTGTCGGCTTTCCGTGGCGGAGTAGAGTGGGCGCGAGCGGCAAAGTTTACCCAGCAGGACATCGATGAGGCCAAGCTCTCAGTTTTCTCAGCCGTTGATGCACCTGTCGCCCCCTCAGATAAGGGTCAGTAATGTGGGCTGTGTCTTTGGACACTGAGTGACATTTTAGCCCATCTGTGTATTATTACTATAGTTGTTTTAGGTTTCCGAAGGATTCACGGTTCTTTTTAAAATTTAAAATGTAAAAAGAAATTGAAATATTTTTTTTATGATTATTAGCTTTTCTTGGGAAACCCTGGTTTAGATGTTTGTATATGTGGATGTTTTGTGATTGATTGTTGTTTACATTTTGGGAAGTGTAGATGTGTTTAAAATGTTCAGGTGCTTAAATATTGTGTTTTGTTTTTGTTTACATGCTCAATGGCCTGTTGCATGAAGCTAGCTGAACAAACTCAGAGTTTCAGAGTAGGTTTAGAGTTGACAAAACTAGAGATGCACTGATCGACCGGCCAGGTCGGTAGCCGATAATGTATTTGTCATGCAAGATGAGGCTTGCGCAGCCGCAGCCTGAGTGAGTGTGTGAGCGAGACTTGTGCAGAAATCAAAACAAATGAGCGCAACAGCACACACAGAAATTTCTAGATGCATACTGCGGTAATAAAAAAAAGTAGGTACGCAACATTGCACGACCAAAATGTTTCAGCATGATTGCAATGTGAATTTATACAATAGTAGTTCAATAAACAAGAAGTTAAAATTAAGTGACTGTTTTTGCTCAATTTCGCTGATGAAAATTGTTCCAATCAAAGCCACAGCAGAACTGTTTTGTGTCTCCGAGTAACACAGCGGTGTTTCGTTACTGAATTAATCCACGTTTTTGAACGAATCAAGTTAGTCATTGATTCAGTAACCCATTCATAAAGACAGTAGTGACTTGCCTCGTTTCTGAATGAATCAGCAGTTTGAACGAATCTGTTGAAGGACTAAATGGCTCACTCATTCAAACTGTCATTTGCCGCCACCTACTGATTTGGTTTCATATTTAAAACTATCATTGCATTTTCCCCAACATTTCTTATTTGTATGTTTAAAAAATATTTAAAACATTAATCTTATACAATTTTTCATGCATTCGAAATTTTGCAGTGTAAATGCATTAATGGCACATCAGCTTCATCAAACAGTCTGTGCAAATACATCTAATGCCACTTCAGATGCAGCTTCTGTGTTTCCTGCAGTGGAAAGATGGAGTTTGTTATTACTGATTTCATTTGAATGGTAGTAACAGCTCTACAGTTTCTCATTATTCTAACTGAAATAATTGAAACGATGTAAGAATTTAATGGGAAAGATTTCTACCTCTTTTCTAGTCACAGAGCACTTTATTTTGAGAGTTGTTTAAGTGAGAGAACATCTGTAACTTTGTCCAGATTGGGGGAATTGTAATGTTTAATAATTTTTAATTATGTAAATAATTTTTTCCATTAAAGTATAGATTTTTGTTTATTTATGCTGTCAATTATAGTTTTTAGAAACTAAATCGGAATCGGCAAAAATCGGTATCGGCAGGTCACACTTACAAAAAAAAATCCGTAATCGGAATCGGCCAAGAAAATTGCAGTCGGTGCATCTCTAGACAAAACCAAACAAATCCAACCTGGCTTAGATCAGGTTCATTGGGCTCACAAAGCTCGATATAACCATTCTTGTCAACTCACAGAGTTTGTGATTAAGTGTGACACATGTAGCAAACAGCCAATCACACGAAACGTGGTACGCAAAAGGCAAATCTTTAGTTGGATTCACTTCTCACGAGAGTCAGCGCAGTTCACTTTTCTGCTGAAGATTAAGAGATGTTATTAAAAATTGAATACATTCAAATGCATTTACAACTTAAGGCAGGAATAAACACTTCTGCAGCAGCAAAAGTTCGAGAAGGCAGCGGAAAGAAAATATATGACTATGCAAAAGCAATCAACTGAATTTAATTATTTATATAGTTTCACACAAAGCTCAAAAGGAAAACGTAAGTTTAGTCATTTTAAAAGCTGGATATAATAAAGCGTATCTATATGTATATATATATATTTAATTTAATTTAAATGCAAAGCTTAAAATTAATTGCCACTTCATATAATAATTACATGAATATATTAATTTTACTCAATTATATACTATAAATATAATAAATAAGTAGCAGCAAAAGTCGAGCAATTTTGTCTGACTGTAAACTGCTTTAATTTGAAGTGAGCGATACGGGGAGTGGCTTCATTGTATCAGCCACTTTGCTCACAGCTGATTGGTCCAGTTTGGGTTTGCGATTTCTAAACCAGAATAAAACCTGCTCCGGAGCAGGGTAGCTGTAGTGTAAGTTACCATGGTGACGAAACCCGCTCAAAACCAACCCACCTTCTTGAACCCGAAAACTCAAGAGTTTGCTCAAATGAAACGCGAGCTTACCTGGGTAAAAACCAAAACCGGCTTCGTGCTACAGGCCTTAGGTGTTTGGATGTTGTTGAGTTTGTGTTCTTGGATATTTGCTCTCTAGTTCACTAGGACCTTGTTATTGTGCTGTAGGTTTGGGGCGTTTTTTAAACGGCATTACAGATGAGATTAAACAAAGATACAGAGAGAGACTGTTCGCTGTGACTGATAAAAACCTCATTGACGTCGCTGGCAGGTAACAAAACATTTAAATGTATATAATTATTAGTGCTGTCAAACGATTAATCGCATTCAAAATAAGTGTTTTTGTGTACATCATATATGTGTGTTTACTGTGTATATTTATTATGTATATATAAATACAGACACATGCATGTTTAGGCTATATTTAAAAATGTTATGTTTATATATTAAATATATTTATAAATTATATGAATATACATATATGCATGTAAATATTTTCAAAATATATACATGCATGTGTGTATTTATATATACATAATAAATATACACATATTATGTAAACAAAAACATTTTGGATGCGATTAATCGATTGACAGCACTAATTAATTCTCGAATAAAATTAATCAAAATATAATAAAATTGAAAAAATATTTATGCTTGAATACTGGTGCTATATTTATATTTTTTTGTATTCATATAATATTTACTTTGTGTGTGTATATGTGTGTGTGTGTGTGTGTTAAACAGGTATCTTGGTGTTGGTCAGCAGACATGTGGAGTGGCTATTCTTGGCCCGGAAAATGAAAGCATCAGAAAAGACCCATCCTGGGTGGTCAAATAGACTTTTTACCTCTCTTCTTATTAGGATTGTGAAAGACACACGCACACACTCCTGGATCACGGACAAATCAAGTCTTGTTCCGTTAGAAGAATGTGTTTTCTTCCTTACAGGAGTCATCATGAGGAACAGAGGTGCTTAAAGAACCTGAATTAAAATTCTCGAAGACTACTTTTGTTTACACAACAAGTTGTTGATGGACTCCATCTTTTTATAACAACGTCGAAAAACGCTCATATGATTCTGCAGTGTTGTAATTAGAAGTTAGAAATTATTTATGAGATGTATAGAATTATAATAAACGTGACCATGTTTAACTAGAATGATTTTTTTTGGACACTGACATTTTTGTCCTCTAATGACCTTAGAGTAACTTTTTAAAATTGATGCACAAGGGTTAATAATGAAACAAACCACACCAATTACATTCTAAAGGGAGTTTATGCAGCATTGCTAGCGTATACACACACGTTCATCATAACACACTAACACAATGGCTGCTTTGGTACAAAGTGCCTGCACTAACACACGCCACAGAATAGCAGCTTGGAAGACTCCTTCAGACTCCAATCAACTAAAACAAGGTGCAGTTGTGAAATAACATCACTATAAGCCAGTGAAGCATTCATACAGATAGCTCCATATTCAATGAAAATAAGCTCTATTAGAATAAATATGGAAATCTTGCATATTCACAAAATATACCGCTTGGCCCCATTTAAAAAGGATGATCAGCCAATCGCGTGAGCGTATGGATTGTCAATCACAACACACTGAGCTACTGTACTGAAGGATCTCGTGGCTGTACGTCTATGGTTACAGTTTAATGTGAACTGCTTTACATATACTGTATATGATTATGTGTTCAGGTCAAGACTATGGAATCACAGGTCTTCACCTATAATAAATACATTTTTACTTGCAAGACAACTTGGTTTTACATGTGGCTGCTGCTTTTAAATGGCAGAGATGTCTTTAGCCCTCAGACGGACGATGTGTTCAAGCTGGCCTGAATCGGACACGTCGTAGCTGGTTTTGTACTTGGCTAGAATCTTCATGAGTGGACGCAGTCGGAGCCACCACTGTTCCTTCGGGATCCTGTGACTGGAAATAAAACATGAACAATATCAGGTCAAAGGAATTTGTCATTTTAAAATGTTTTTAATGTGATTTTTTTAAAGGGAATATATAATGGAAAACATTTCCCCTTGCTCTATTGAGTTAAAAAGAATGTATTATGAAGACAGACACAACTCTAAACGCCTTCTCAAGTCCACCCGGACCATTTACTAAAATTAAAGTAACTAAAGACTAAATTATGACTGCTTTTGGTGCAAGAAACTTTTTTTAACGTTACACTTTTATTATGAATTTTTCTGAAAAAAATTATGATTGTGATTTAAAAATGCTCCAATTTTGCTGTGCTTGTTTACAGGGCTACAGAATTTGGCCAATTTAGTGATTTGTGCATCAATTTAACATAATACACAAAATATTAAACAAAGTAATACATATTACAATTTATATATTTCACTCTAAAATAAAAAATATATACTTTATTAGTATTTAAGAAAATAATATAATTTTATTGTACAGTACAATTGTAAAATTACAATACTAATATATTCATGGCTGACTGAGGAAAATGTGGTAACACTTTAATGTATTATAAGAGTAATTTGAATGCATTGTAATACACCTTATAATGCATTGCATGATCTTTAGAATAATTATAACCACAGTTATAATATATTATACTAATCTATTCAATGTTACACCTGTAGAAACTAAGTATAATGCATTAAAACACATGACAAACAAACCTTCAAAAATTATAATGCATTTTAACTTTGGTTGCAATTATTTATAAAAAGATATTATGCATTACTTTGTACATTATGAATACTTGAATAATGTTACACATAAAGGCTTTAAGTATAGTGCTACCAAAAAAGTAAAATGTTTCAAAATAGAATCCTTTAAGAGCAGCCTTGGAAACAAATATTAGGACATCATTTTTAAGATAATAGAATCAGCTTTGTGAAGCATGCTTGTTGTCTTACACAAAATCCGTCTCATCCTTCAGCTGTATGACAGGCTGGAAGACCAGGGCCCTGCGCCGCATCCCCAACAAACACGCAGAATCCTCGGAGTTCGCAAACACATGGCCTACAAAACGCAAAAAATATGGTACTGCACAAAGTCTACAAGCAGTGCAAAATGACCAAAGATATAAGCATAATAACACTGTGCTTCAAGTGAACTCAAACAATATCATTTTGAGATTCAAATAACTTACCTTCACCTGAGCCAACCAAGGAAAGCAAAATACAAAGAGCAAAATAATATAGCACTGTGTGACAGTGAAGACCAAACATTTCTTATATTAAAGGTGCACTAAGTGATTTTTGAAAAACACTTTTGACCACATGCGTCGGACCGAGTCCTAAGTAAGTAAGGGGGCGTGTCTTGTAATGATAGCGAGAAGAGAGCGCTCAATTTGACTGCACAGGAATGCTATTAGCAGACCGATTATAGAGAGATGACAGATAAAAAAAAAGAGGACAATATCAGAGAAACAAAACATTAAAAAGAATAGGTGAGTAACGTTGATTTTGCTTCGTTTCACACAACTTATCCGTGTTGGCTTTTGTTTGAATATGCTTGTGTGTCATCTTCATTTGTTTCCGCGATCGTCGTTGCCATGGTTGTGTACGTACATGTGGAGCGGAGATTTCAAAATAAGGGCGAGGTCCTGTTGGGGTATGGGCGTGTTTGTTTTGCTGCTTTCAAATATCAACATCGTTTGACAAAAATCGCTTAGTGCACCTTTAATATATAATTCTTAATATATTATATTTCTTAATATAATGTATAAATTTGTTATAAAAAATCTTTACAAAAAATACAAATATTTTATTAATATTATTGTATTTAATTTATTATTCAATTATTTGTATTATACACCCACACACACACAATTAATGTAATAAAATAAAATAAAAACATATATAACAAAAATACAGTAACATTAATTATTGATAAAATATTTATTATTATTATTATTATTATTATATTTTAGTGCTTTACATTAAACATGTTATTACATTTTACATCCAAATCTGTGCAACCCATACGTATAGCAAACACAGATGCACTAAAAAACAAACGATCCTTTTAGTTACTTATATATATATATATATATATATGCATGTATAAATGATATATTATATAATTTATATGTATATATAATTTATTTATATAATTCTTAGCTACAGAATTATATAAATGTATGTGGTGCAAAAATGTGCTCTAAGACTATCAGCATTTAATTCAGCATTTAATTTCCTGCAGCAGTGTTGAATATGTATGTTTTCTGTTGCTCTTGTAACAAAAATCAGTTCTGACTTCACACAATCCCAGACTGCATCTCTACTGGAGTGATTTCTCTTTACCTTCTCTGTAAAACTCTTTGAGCTTCTTGGAGATCCACTGCATGGCTTTAGCAGCGATCTTGGTGCCAAAGTTTCTGTCAAATGGGGAAGGAGCACCACCCTACACAGCAGATGAACAATATTCTGATCACGTCCACAATTGCATTTGTGTGTGTATGCAAATGTGTGTGTGTTTGTACCTGCTGCATGTGTCCCAGGACGTTCTTCCTGCAGTCAAAGACTCCTTTGCCCTCTTCACTGTACAGCTGGTAGATGAAGTCAGTGGTGTAGTTCTCACTGCAGTTCTCATTCCTGTAAATTACAGACACACATACACAATCACACCTCACTGCTTCTACACATATAGAGCTACATGATACACGAATCCAGTGTATTAATGCTGTATGTAAGAGAGCTAGATCATACCTGAGCACTAAACCTCTCTGGATGCTGGTCTTCATCTTCTCAGTTAAATGTTTGACGTTAGACTGAAAATAGAGCACTCATAAAAACTCAGCATGATGCTGACGTTCTCTCTCTCTTTCCTTAAATAGTACACTCTGCTAAATATTTCTGCCTGCGTGTGGGACAGAGCATACAGAGGACGTGAAGAAGGGTACACTGTAATGCCTGTGTCTGGCAGAAGGGGGCAGACTTGACCTTTGACCCTCAACTATTAAGAATCATTGATTTGGCTTTGGCTACTGTATGTTCATAATGAAATACTAGCTAGACACACATGTGGGATTTTTTTCCCCGGAAAAAAATAAGTAAATAATTACATATACATACATACATACATAAAACTTTTTCAGCAAACACACTGAATTGATCAAAAGTGACAGTAAAGACTTTGTTATAACAGATTCCTATTTCAAATAAATGCTGTAATTTTGAACTTTCTATTGATCATAGAATCCTGAAAAATATGCATCATGGTTTCCACAAAAATATGAAGCAGCACAACTTGTTTTCAACATCGGTAAAAAAAAATAAGAAATGTTTCTTGAGCAGCAAATCAGCAAGAATGACTTCTGAAAAATCACACGACACTGAAGACTGGAGTAATGATGCTGAAAATTCAGCTTTGCACCACAAAAATTACATTTTAAAATACTGTATATTCAAATAGACATGTTATTTTAAATGTCAAGACAAGTCAAACGAGTGCTGAAATGGTATGCAATATGCATGCAATATATTATATATGAGTTACATTAAGAACAACATGTCTCGGAAATGTTTTTCAAAACTGTCTTGGAGCAGCCCAGCACTGTCTCCCTCATCTAACACACCCGATTCAACTCCTCAGCTCATTAGAAAATCAGCAAGAATGACTTCTGAAAAATCACACGACACTGAAGACTGGAGTAATGATGCTGAAAATTCAGCTTTGCACCACAAAAATTACATTTTAAAATACTGTATATTCAAATAGACATGTTATTTTAAATGTCAAGACAAGTCAAACGAGTGCTGAAATGGTATGCAATATGCATGCAATATATTATATATGAGTTACATTAAGAACAACATGTCTCGGAAATGTTTTTCAAAACTGTCTTGGAGCAGCCCAGCACTGTCTCCCTCATCTAACACACCCGATTCAACTCATCAGTTCATTAGTAGAGACTTTAAGACCTGAAGTGGGTCAGAAAAGGTAAAGAGATGCGTGTCAGAGCCGCGTCACGTTCAGCAGTGGCAGCTCTTAAAGAAACAACAGCAGACACTCGTTCTAATCCGTTCAATCCGTTCTATTTTTATTTAATAATACTAATTTATTATTCTAATCTTATCAGTTAACGGTTAATGTTCGGACTTCGGATAACAAGTAACGGTTGTCGGTCGGGAAAATAAACCGAAATGAACATCCCTAGACGATTGCTATGTTCATTATAACATCCAACAACAAAACACCTCAATCGCTTAGGAGTCATTCTTATCTACAACTTTTCCTGCATTGAAGCAATGGCGGACTGATGACAGCTCACTCAGGGCGGAGCTGTGATAAAACCAAAGACTGACGCCACTGTCAATCAACAATCGTGGGAGGGGCCTGGGTCTGTGTGACGTCACACAGACAGGACCCTCCCACGCTAGTTTGATTGACAGTAGCGTCAACAAACATGGGAGGGGCCTGTGCAGAACTACATCATTCTGCCAAGAATCTGAAATCGGCTTGATTTGAGAAAGGGGTATGGATTTATCAGGATTTTTTTTTTAAAAACACTGGCTGGATTTGTTATCATTATAGGGTGGTGTAGACACACTGCCAAGACACATTTTAGTTCAAACAACACGTAAAAGTGAATTTTGCATCCGATGTCCCCTTTAATGTTAGGTGGGATTAATCGCGATTAATTTCAGAAAAAAATGTGCGATTAATTAGTTAATTTTTTTTAATCGATTGACAGCACTAATTATTTTACATAATTTCAGTCATTATTCTGTTCATCAGCAGAAAAAGAAGAAAAGTGATGGTTATGACATGTTGATATTTATGCCATAATACTGAATGATTACCATATTCATATTCACCATATTTTTAACACTCCAAGATATATATATATATTTTTTTTTTCACAGAATACATGTCTATTGGCACATGTCTAAAAAAAAAGTTTTAAGTTTTGGTACATTTTTGTTAGTGATGTGTTTTCCAATCTAGGTCACAAGATGAATCTATATATAAATGCAGAGCTATATACAGTAGGACAGAGCTATATTCAATCACCTTGTGTCCATTCCACACAGTTACACTGCAGGTGTACACTGCAAACTATATAAATAGACATACACACACACTATTATATATATACAGTATATATATATATATATATATATATATATATATATATATGTGTAGAGT